TTTTGTCCAAAGCTGGTGTCCATAATAACTGATGAGACGCCCATTGAGCAGATGAGGAACAGACTAATAAAAGACAAAGCCAACAACAGCCAGCCATCACACGTTGCACACACAAGAAAGCCAAAAATTGCACTGCTGAGAGAAGTTTTTGGACGCGGTGAGTAACCATGTTAGATATTATTAAAATATGATAATTTAGTGTTTAATAAAGATGCATTATTATTCGCAGTACTCAATCTAATCAATCTAATATCATCTAATATCATCTATTAATACTTATGAATAATTGTCAATAATATTGTTATGGCAATAAATACCAGAAAATATTGTGACATAATAAAGTCCACATCGGCCATCGCTACACTGTAAAAAATGCTGGGTTCCACACAATTAATTCATGTTGTCCCAACACAAACCGATTAGGTTAACTTAATAAATTTAAGTGGATTGAACCTAAAACCGCTAAGTTGTCCACAATAATCTCAAGAATTGTGCTGTTTCAGCTTATATTATATAAGTACAGTAGTTTAAACAAGCAGCCAAATATTTTTGGGGGTGTGGTTTACATGCAAATGCCTCGCAAATGCAAATTTTAATTTCCGGGTGAGCCATTTCTTTAAACCAGTGATGCCCAAACTAGGGCCCGCGGGCCAAAGTTAGCTCGTAGTAACCTTTGAATTGGCCCGCCATCCCATCTAAGAGTGGTTTAGAGATTGTCATTTTAAATTGAATTTAACCTTTTATTTGTTTGTTTTAGTGTTAAGCAACCAAAAAGGTCTCTCAAATAAAATTTTCAATTTCAGCGGTGTAAATTAATCAGATTTAGTTGAAAATGTACAAACGACTCATAGGGGACAATGCAAAAGACTTTGGTGAGTGAATCAAGTCAAAGGCAGCTTCTGCTTGCCTATTGTATTCAGCATTGAACACCACTTTGTTATAAATGTGATTGTTGATGTTTTTAATCAAAATAAGTTTTAATAGAAAAAATTATACTGCATTAGTTAATATAATTCAAAGTAAAGTTTTCTATTTATTATTCAATATTATTAAATAAATTAGGAAATTAGCCATGGCAACTTTAATGTAAATTAGTAAATGGTATATTTATGTTTGGCCCACAGCTATCAATGATATTTGGTTTTTTGGCTCTTCAAAAAAAAAGTTTGGGTACCCCTGCTTTACACATAGTGACCCAACATTCTCAACAGCATTTCTAATAATACTAAATGTATTTCTCTCACCTGTCTACAGGTTCTATACTGTGTTGGTTATTCCCGCTTCATTCCACCCCTCCTTCTGTTGGCGGCATCAGTTATTCAGCACTTCCTGATTACGACGTGTAACACTAACCAGTTTTTCATCAGTCCTTTTGACCGCTCAATCAGTATGGCAGTATCATATATGTGTGTGTGTGTGTGTTGGGAACTGTGGATATTACGTTACTGAGATGCAGATTTCAGCTCTCATGAATGGTGTGTGAGTGCTTTTGTGTACTTCTGCTTACTGCTTCTCCATTACACACAGAGATTATTACAAGGTACTGAATCTTTTTTCTTCATCTAATCAACTAAATGTTTCTTTTGATATTACCCGGGAGATTTTATGATTTTTTTTTTTTTTTTTTTTTCGGAAGAGTCTTGTTTAAAGTTGTTAAATCAGTATGTTAACCAGCAACCAGTATACATTGTGTTGTATACGGTACAGTAACCACTAATTTGCATTAAGGGACAAGGTCAGCTGTGTTGACTTTATCAGGTAAATGCAATAGGACTCGCCGTCATCCATTTCGATTTCATAATGTGTGTGTGTGTTTGGGTACATGGACTGTACTCCATTTTACATGAGGACTGTATATAAAGATGTATTTTATAACTTTGATTTCTGACAAAAGTGTTGCTGCGTTTTCAGGGTATTAGACTATTTTATTTTTATTTATTTGTTTGGTTTGTTCGAAACGTTCACGCTTTTGCTGTTTTTCGCGGACAGCTTGAGGGATGTGTGTACATAACAGATGAACTTGTATATTGATAATGTTTACATGGATATTTATTTGTGATTTTGTGTCTGTCTAAATGCTGCTCTGACTCACGTGAAGTAAAAGACATGTTTTTCATACTCTGGCTTCTTCTCGCTTTTAAAATCGTGAGTTTAGTTGGAAATAAAACCAGTGGTGCTGAATATAGAAACACTGCGTTTTATTATTTAGGAAATTCACGGTAATTATTGTTGTGTTTAATCAAGTTAGAGCTTTTAATAATCTTAATTTAGTCATTTTAAATAACAGGAAGTGTTATATTATATATGGGTTAAAGACATCATATTTTGTGTTTACGTTAAATTATGATTAACTCTTTTGTGCTGTTGAGGATGTTTTCATCCACTTTGGGGGGATTTGAGTCTGAATTTGGCCATTACTTTTTTCTGTGTTTCAGCAAGCAGAATTATTTTTGGCACACAACAAAGTGGAAAGTTATTGCGTTTCATATTTAACAAACTGTTCACTGCAAATTTTATGTAATTTTGCTCACATGGATAATTGAATATTAATCAGATGATGTCATTACGCTGCTGTGCCGTCAGCCAATCGTTGCATTGCTGATCAGGATTTCGAGGTTCGATAGATCTGTCCTTCACAACACACGCAGCAATCTCAGATCAGTTTATCCAGACATTTTATCTGATTCACAAACTTGTTTAAAGAACCAAATTAGCCAGAGATCAGTTATCAAGATCAAAAGATCCAGGATCTGCCAAATCATCTTTGATCATTTAAGCAAGGTATGAAGAACGGACCCCTGATCAAAACTATTAAATTGCTTAGAAAATTACAGGATTTTAACTCTTTAATTGCTAAGTTTACAAATTATGTCAACTGATTTGGTAAAAAAAAAATCACACAAAATGACGTATTTTCAATATAAAAAGTGTGGACTGGATTATTTTAACTTTTTTCAAAGTCTTGGACATGTGAAACAGCATTGCCTTTGCATTATTTTTGGTGATTTTCACTTTTGGTGGCTGTTTTTGCCTCATTGACTTCCATTATAACCCAATTTTTTAATTACAAAATCATGAGATCATATACTAATGCATTTTTGATTGTTGGTAGTTTTCCCTGTTGGGAAGAGGTAAAATTTGTAATTTGTACTGCTGATCTTCAGTTGGAACCATTAACCTTTTATATAGGCCTGTGCACTTTTTATAAAGTATAACAGCAATTTAAAGTGTGTATGTGTGTCTGTGAGTGTGTGAGGGACCTTTGCACACTTACCTTGATGTGTCTGTGAAAATCTAAATATGCATCTCAGCTCTCAGATCTACACGGAGTAAACAGAAAACAAAGACTGTGTGTTTATGCACCATCAAATGTGGTTCTTATGGAAGTCAATGGGGCAAAAACAGCCACCATAAGTAAATTCGGGAGAACAAATAAAAATCTAACAATGCATCAAAGCCAATGATGTCACTAATCATTCACATGTCCAAGACTGTGACAAAAGGTAAAAAAAAATGTTTTTGTCCACGATTGCTTTATATATTGAAAATATGTAATTTGTGTTTTTTTTTTTCTTCCCCCAAATCAGTAACATCATTTGTGAACTTGGCAATTAAAGAGATAAAATCCTGTCATTAAAAAAAAAAAAAACATTTAGTAGTTTTGATCAGGACTGAGAAATTCAGAATTCAAAATTGAAAAGTTTATGTATTTTTACAGCAGTTTAATTCAGTGGATGTTTTTATCCCAAACATAACAAAAGAGTAGTAAATTTAAAAAGTGCACAAGGGTTAAGTGATCTTATACATAGAAATTATATTGAATGCAAGTAAAAAATTCAATTAATATAATAGGAAAAACAATAATGTGAAATCACGTGAAATAATCTGCCAAGTGTGTGTAAAATGTAAACTTATGTAAAAATTTACTTATTATAATATTTTGTTTTGTTTTTGTTAAATATGAAAACATGAAAACGTACTTGCTCACAAATGGGAACTTTTGAATGTGTTTATGTTTACAGACATTTTAAAGGATTTTGGTGAAGTATAAATATTTAAAATGACAACATTTCTTGAATAATTGTTTAATATTTTATTTAATTATTACAGTTCTGAAAATGCCTGACAAGATTTTTACTATATTAACTCTCTATACTATGCAGGGTATCTGCGGGGTCTTAAAGTCTTAAATCTCAAAAACTATATTTTAGGCCTTAAAAAGTCTTAAATCTACTGAAATATAGTGTTGTAGGTCTTAAATCTTTTTAACAGGTCTTAATTTCCTTTGGTCATGTATAGCTGCCTAATCTGGCCATTAACACTCAAATGATCACCAACAATCCATCTCAATAAAACATTTTATTTTAAAATAGCATTAACACTATTACTTGCCTTACAGAGGAATTCATTTAAATGTTCTCCATTTATTTACTGCTAAGGATACCGACCTGACCAATATTTGTTATTAGATTATCATTATTGTATTATTAAATCTATTAAATTATAATCAGTTTTTGATCTTTTCCAACTGGGCTGTTCCAAAAAAATCCTTAACATTTAGCTTTGTATAAGTGTAAAATTTCCTTGATAATGGGTCTTTAATTTCACTGGTGAAGCCTGCAATAACCCTGCTATGTGTTTGAATATGATTTTATCCCTTAAAACAACAGTTATTGCAATGATGACACAAATGATCTTATTTTACAGAATAATTAAGCGACCTGACTGTAAATAAAAAGCATTTATCTGCTCCTAATATTTGACATTCACAAATGCAGTCAGCTTTTTTCTTTTTTAAAGGCGTCTATAGTGAGAGCTGGACATTAATATTTCACTCAAAGCACAGCACACCTAAATGAGCGACAGCTAATTAAAATGGGATCATATAAATTTTTCAATTCTTGCGAACTCGCCGCTCATTGGCCTAATCTATGGTCACGTGCTAGTGTTGTTATTTTTGTTGTCGACTTCCTGATAGCAGAAATCATGTGATTCTCTGACGCTTCCTGGAGCTTTACTTTCACGCATCACTTTTTTTTGCTTTGCGTGACAACATTCACCGGTGACAAACATCAGCATCAGGATTTAGTTGCAGATTTTGTGCCCGTTTACGGTATGGCTGACGGGGAACGATCACCTTTACTATTGGACGGTCGCGATGGAATGACGGGACTGTCACTGGGAGACGAGCCCTACCGACCGATCAGCAAACCGCAGAGTGAGTCAAACATGATCCAGATTGACACTGGCTGTAATTTACAGCATGTTCATTTTGCTATCCACAGTATATTTGAACATATGCGAATTGTAAAGTACTATTTAGATCCACTGGCAATGATGCCTACGCTCACGTTATCTGAATAAGCAGGATTTGAGAATCCTGCGGTTTATGAATTGTGTTGTCATTTATTGTACACACCGCACAGTGAGTGCATATGTTGATCATGTGGTTCAATGTGCAGTAATCTGTAATCTGGAGACCGTCAGCTCACCACAAATAGATTAGCGTCCGATTACTGAGTTCACCTGAATCACATGACAAAAGGAATCATGATTGCCCTCGGATTATTTTCAGTGTATCCGTCTGAGTGTTATTGACTGTAATCATCAGCGGGAGTATTAATAAACGCTGTTCATTGGCCTTTCAATTGATTCACTTTGCAAGCAAAAAAATACAGTGAATGTGCATGAAAAGAATGAACGATTAGATTTTAGTTAATTTATTTACTTTATTAATATTAATATTTTCTGTTATCTGTCGTATTTCAGGCACACTGTTCTTATCATTAATGCATATTTACAATTTATATATATATAAGATAATTTGTATAAAAGGGTGAAATATGTACAGTATTATTAATGTTGTGTATGAAGCATATATAAAATATTCTTTGTTTACCTGATTTCGTTGTCAAAGTAATGTTTTAATGCATATATACAGGTGAATAAATATTTTTATTTTAAAAGAGACTACTTTTTAACCTTTTTATCTATCTATCTATCTATCTATCTATCTATCTATCTATCTATCTATCTATCTATCTATGGAGGACGAAGCTTGCAAAAATGATTAATTAACAAATATGCAAATTTATACAGTAAATAATTCCATAAATTCCTGCATAAATAAAATAATAAATAAATATGCAAATAAATAAATGTATATATAAATTCACACATTCCTGCATAAATATATAAATAATTAATAGTGCAGACAGATAAATAAATAAATAAATAAATTGCACAATTTTTTTAGGAAAAACAAAATGCTAAACTACCCCCCTCCCCCCAAGAAGCGTTACTTTATTTAATTGCATTTTTATTTATTTAATGTTTTATTTATGCAGGAATTTTTGCATTTATTTACTGGTTTATTTATATATTTGCATATTTATTTATTGTTTTGCAGATTTCGTCCTATCTATCTATCTATCTATCTATCTATCTATCTATCTATCTATCTATCTATCTATCTATCTATCTATCTATCTATCTGTTATATCTGCTAGCTGACCCCCCCCCCCCCAGTTGAATATGCTTTAAGAATATATTTAGTATTTTTTTATAATAATAATTCTTTTCCAGAAAGTTTCACTGACATTTACTTATTAATGCATACTGCAGCTATGATGTCAAACTCACTGCTGACTTACAAGATGTATTCCTGTGGGTTGTTATAATAATAATTTCAATTTATTAGTAAAATAGTCTGAGTTATGAGTCTATGCAGTTTATATTGTAGAAGAAAACAATGAGAATTTTTTCCAACAGACCTCATACTCTTGGATGACTGAAAATTAGAAAGCCTCAGGAGAATCCCTGCTGAATTAGTCTTGTGTGATTTGACATCATGAATGCAACACTAATAATACTTGAATGGAAAGGAAATTGTCATTTTTCGCTGAAGTCAGTCATTTTCCCCCAGATTTCGCAGTGTTCCCGTCGGCTCCTCCAATGCTGGGAGAAGCTCCTCCACCGTACTCCCCGCTGGGCTCTCCGGAGAGCAGCAGCGCTCCTGTCATCAGCTGCAGAGTCTGTCAGTCGCTTATTAGCGTGGAGGGCAAAATCCACCAGCATGTGGTCAAATGTGGCGTCTGCAATGAGGCTACAGTGAGTCAACAAACACATTCATTTAGGATTCCTTTCATCACATGTTCAGTGATTAGTGAGGAGATGAAACCTGTTACAGATTTAAAGGGACAGTTCACCCAAAATTTAACTTTACTGTTGATTTATCCACAGTCAATTCGAGATGTAGGTGACTATTTACATTGAGCTCCACAATTGCTGAGACTGTTATTTCAGCATGTTGATGTACTTCCTGCTGAAACTGAATATTAAGTAGGGGGCGGAGCTTTCTTTTTCGTTTATTTTTTGGCTCAAAACTTCTGTTCTCATTCACTTCCATTCATTTTTAGATGTTAAAAGCAGCTCATTATGCTGCTGGATGTTTCTGCACGGTGGCTCAGTGGGTCGCCTCACAGCACGAAGGTCGCTTGTTCGAGCCCCAGCTGGGTCAGTTGGCATTTCTTTGTGGAGTTTCCATGTTCTCCCTGTGACTGATAATTTTTTTTTTAATGTTTAAAAAACATTTATTGTTTAAAAAACACGTGCCTGGGCACGCTTACGTCATCGATTCTGTTCAGTAAGCGCTCTTACTCAGCACAGTGGAGATTTCTCTAGTTAAATCATTTAAGTCATTTGTTATGCAGTGACATGCAGTCCGATATTTCGCCACTTTTGGCGCTCATGAACAATCATAAAGCCCTCATGCTGCAGGAATGAGGAGGTCTGCTGAAGGTGCGCAGCTGCCGTGCAGTGAGGGGTTTGCGTATTTAATAAACTACGGCAGTTTGCATTCATTGAACCGTAAGAATGATTAATAAATCCATATGAAACAGTCCCTTAAAAGTCACATCTCGCAACCAATAGTCTTTTATTGAAGATTACCAAAACAAACACTTTTTATCCACCTTAAGAATAACCTTGTGGGCTAGCAAAATAAACATTGTAACTATTGATTTCGCGTGCATTTTAGGCTGCAACTGTGGATATTGGGGATTCAAATTAGTGATTTTTGAAAAACGTATTTATTTTTTGTTGATTAATAAAGGGTGTGTTGTTTCCGAGTCTTGATTGCTTATGTTATGCATGGGGATTGGATGCAGTGATATTCATTGGGGGTTTGGTGCCTTGCCTCCTTTTGCTCATCCCCCCATGATGGTTTGGTATAGGGGTGGGGTTTGGTGCCACGCCTTCTTTTGCTAATCCCCCCATGATGGTTGGGTATAGGGGTGGGGTTTGGTGCCACGCCTTCTTTTGCTAATCCCCCCATGATGGTTGGGTATAGGGGTGGGGTTTGGTGCCACGCCTCCTTTTGCTCATCCCCCCATGATGGTTGGGTATAGGGGTGGGGTTTGTATGGATGTACTGCGTCAAAGCCTAAGTGAACCGCGCTCTTCCAACCGGACCAAGGCCAGCCTAGTGAACCGTGCCTGAGCCCGATTCAGAGCACTTACACTTTTCAAACGATCCGGGAAACGGGCCTGGCCATAGTTCGGATAGCATAGTGTGAGTAGGCCTAAAGCTGCGGTCACACTAGATTTTGTGCGTGCGAAATTCTGTTGTACGGCTCTGCGAAAAGGGGCGGGCTTAAACAAGATAATTAGACATTTTTAAAAAATGAGCGATTTGTGTATATTTAAAATTTTTGTCCAGAGAGGTCATGTTTTGATCCGCGATTGGTCTCACGCAGTCAAGTGATGCAATTTGGCAGGTCAGAGTTCACCTAGCTTTAACTTTGCACTGCAGTGAACTGCAAATCTTGACGCATGAACTTGCGGTTCCGGTCTGACGCAGTGTGCGTATGAACAGAAGTCGATAGGGAGAAATGTGCAGTGTGATCGCAACTTTACCTGTAGGTTTCAAACAAGCCTGAAGTACTCAATTAGTTTGATCAGGTGTTTAATTAGGGTTGGAACTAAACTGTGCAGAGCTGTGGCCCTCCAGGAATTGGCTTTGACACCTGTAGAATAGCCCGAGGGTCAAGAAATGACCAGCAAACTTTCCTTTTTGGGTTAACTGTCCTTTCAGAAAAATGAAAGTTCAGACTGTAAGATCATTTCCTGTTTTTTCTCTAGCCTATAAAGAACGCTCCAGCGGGAAAGAAGTATGTGAGGTGTCCGTGTAACTGCCTGCTCATCTGCAAAGTCACCTCACAGAGGATCGCCTGTCCTCGGCCTTACTGGTGAGAGAATTAAGGAGGCATTTTAATCTGATATCACGCTCAATATTGTTCTGTATTACCCAAAACTACTTGTAACGTCTGCCTTAGGTTGTGTATAGTTGGATTACTGCTCCAGTATGTTAGGTATAGGTTTCTAAAAACTGCTCTTATGTCCAGTGTTGTGTTCATATTTATGATTAGTGAAGTTTATTTACAAACTAATTTCTAGAGGATCACATGCTTATGATTGTTCCTGGCTGGTCTATCATTAGCTAATGCTAATCAATGTCAATTTAGAGCTAGTATTTGAATGATTCTTTAGGGTAATGTCTAAAATTTTGACAAAACAGATCAATTTGCTGACATTTTAAGATTATAAGGCTGAACGGATGAAATGCCATCAGTCTACAGGGATTTCCCAGAATTTGTCTTTTTCAATAGGGAGATCACAATATTACAATGGTATGAATACAGTACTACAACATACAAAAGAGAGAGATCGACTTAGAATGTCTATTACTTGTTTAATAATGATTTGATCAGCTTTAGTTTGAAATTGTGCTATTTTTCTTTTAGGGCTTATTATGCATCCTGTCGCCATCTTGTGAATGAACATCGTCAACCGTGTTTGCTCAAAGACAGGCTAATGAACGCTGATGCGCTTTCTCTCATAAATGATAAATATTTTAAAATAGGCACTATTTTTATAAATAAACTGCACAGTTTTAATCTAAACAACTACATTTGCGATTAAAAAGCCTCAAAAGTACATTATGTTGTCCAACAGCAGCAATATTTGTCAAACTGTAGAGTGTCCTCTGCTTGTTGCTGTATGTGGGCGGAGTAATTCACAAGAATGAAGAGGCTGGTCAAGTGCTGTTACTGGCAGAATATCGCACAGCTATCAGCCAATCAGATTCAAGAACCAGACAGAACAGTAGAAATATATTTATGTTTTATAATTGTATATATTGTATTTTAAGTGTGATGGTAAACAGAAAATCATAGATGTAAAATCGGCTAAAGATGATATTATTAGCAACTTAAGAATATATACAGTTGAAGTCAGAATTGTTAGCCCCCTTCGATTTTTTTTTTCTTCTTTTTTAAATATTTTTCAAATGATGTTTAACAGAGCAAGGAAATTTTCACAGTATGTCTGATAATATTTTTTCTTCTAGAAAAAGGCTTATTTGTTTTATTTTGGCTATAATAAAATTAGTTTTTAAATTTTTTAAACACCATTTTAGGGACAAAATTATTAGCCCCTTTAAGCTATATTTTTTCTCGATAATCTACAGAACAAACCATCGTTATACAATAACTTGCCTTATTACCCTAACCTGCCTAGTTAATCTAATTAACCTACTTCAGCCTTTAAATGTCACTTTAAGCTGTCTTGAAAAATATCTAGTCAAATATTTACAGTCATCATGGTAAAGATTAAATAAATCAGTTATTTGAAATGAGTTATTAAAACTATTATGTTTAAAAATGTGTTGAAAAAATCTTTTCTCCGTTAAAAAAAAAAAAAAAAAAAAAAAATATATATATATATATATATATATATATATATATATATATATATTAATAAATTAATTTTCTTTTTGATGGCTTAAAGAGTGCTTTGTAAAATTGTCTTATTATTTTTAATGCTGAGTTTAAAGAAGGAGCATCAATTTCTATGTTTGTGTCTCTTTTTTTTATTTGTTGGAATAGTAAGCGAGTTATCAATTTAGGTCCAGTTAATCCTGGTGCAGGGAGTCCAAATCCTCAGCCTACTGGAGCCAGAGTTTCCTGTGGCCACTGTGCAAAGACCTTCTTGGTAAGAACTTTTCATATCCATTTAAAAAAAAAATCATTTCAAATCTCTTTATTGATTCGTTTTCTCATCAATTGTGTTTCCATTGTTGATTTAGTGGACAGAGTTTACAGATCGGACATTGGCTCGCTGTCCACACTGCAGAAAAGTGTACGTTTTTATGTCTCTATTCAGTACTGCTTTGTTACATTAACTACAAATGAAATAATTGCACGAACTTCAATTCTTTTTTATCCATATAGTTCATCGATAGGCCAGAGGTACCCTCGAAAACGGAGTTTGATATGTTTCCTGTTGTGTTTGATCTTCGTCATAACAACAGCGGGATTGATTGTAAGAATAAAGCATTTTTTGATTTCTTTCTCTTTTTTTTAAATGCATTTCAGACTAACAGGAGTCCTCTTGTATCTGTTTCTCTTTCTCTCTATATAGGCTGGTACATGGTTGAAAGCACAGAAATATAAGGGCATTTACGCATCCTGGGTATTTTTCATTGTCCTGGTGCTGGTTACTTTAGTCAGAGCTTTACACTGGGCCTGCATGAAAATCAGTGAACCGCTACACAACTACTCATAGGAGAGATTCATCCACGGAGAGCAACAGACAAGAAAATGGAGAACATGTTCATAGTTTGATGCTCTGCCTAAATGGGTGAAAACCTGTGAGGAAAGAGTCAGTAATATTTCACCTCAAAATCAATGCAATACATAGGTTTGATAATGTTTAATGGCCCAAAACCTTTATTAATTATACAAAAACAAAAATAAATAATAATAATAATAATAATAATAATAATAATACTTAATATTCCCTTTGTTTTAGGGGTGAATTAGATGGGTGCTCATTTCTTCCTTAGAATAAAAGGTTAATAAACGTAATAAACTTTTTATCTCATAATTCTGACATTTTTTTACTCGTCAATTCCAAGTCAGAAAGTCAGAATTTAGAACTGTACAACATAAACCCAGATCTGAGAAAGCCTTAAGAATTACCACACGTAAACTCTTTTCTTTTGAATATTTTGAGGGGGAAAAGTTAGCAGCTCGATTTATTATTATTATTTATAAAGATTTTTTGGGGCATTTTTGCCTTTATTTGACAGGACAGTAGATTGACAGGAAGTGAAGTGTGAGAGAGAGGGGGGTAGGATCGGGAAAGTCCCACGAGCCGGGATTTGGAATGCCCTGAGCACTGCCGCACTGCCGGCGCACTAACCACTGGGCAATGGTGCCGACATAGCAGCTGTTGCAACTCAAGCTACTAGTAGTAAGAAAAAAAGTCAGAATCGCTAGTTTGTAACTTGCTGATCTGAGATCGTGAGTGGAGATTTGTGTCAGATTTGTGAGATGGTGGAAACAAGCTTCCATAGAAACGTGTCATGAATGCTTTTTACCAAATTGTGTTTCTTTGTGTGTTTTTTTTCCTCCCCTTTTCCTTATCTTCGCAGTGCTTCACTTTTGTATCCAGTCTGTTCACATTCCTATTACGAATCCACTTCCTAAACACTGAACACAAAGAAGAAGCATTGAGAAACAAATTCCAGCATTGTCAGGAATTAAACAGAAACTTTTTAAACCATTTTTAATCCTGTCAATTACCTCTAGACATCACTGTGGCGTCACCCAAATATGCTGAAGCGTTGTGTTAGAATGAGACTGTGGCCAATTTGCTGACAGAAAAGTGCCTCGTATGACAGTAAAAATAACTAATAAGGCTTTTTTTTCCATATATGAAGAAATCATAACTTTTAGCTTTATTTAAAATTGAACCCTGACCTGGAACATGAAATGTATGAGCAACTACAACAACAAAAAGAAGTCAAACTTGTGAAGTATTTGGAAAAGTTTATATAAAAGTGGAAAAAGCAAAAGCTCTATTTAGGCAGCAGTAAATAGATTATTAATTTAGTTTGTTGCTGTCGCATGGATATTATTTGACTATTTTGTTTTCTAATGTGTGGCCCAGTTTTAGACCAAACCGTAACCTTCGTTTTAGTAATACAGCATCATCAGCATATCTTCACTGTAAAAAGTTGACACATTTACTCACTTTAAGTCAATTAATCACTTTTAAAGCAGAAAATCTACTCCCTATACATGTAGTCAACTAAAAACTATGTATCAAATTTACTCACCTTTTATATAAAGTGATTAGTTGACTTTAAAAATGTAGTAAATTTTTTAAAGTGTTTAATTGATCTGAAAAAGGGAGTATATTTGATGCTTTTAAGCGATTTGACTACTTAAAGTGAGTAAATTTGTTGATTTTAAAGTGATTAGTTGACTTTACATAAAAAGTGAGTAAATTTGCAGCTTTAAAAGCAACAAAATTACTCATGGCTTTAAAAGAGTTAAGTTGACTACTTCAAAATTGAGTAAATTTGCTGCTTTAAAGCGATTAGTTGACTGGAAGTGAATCAATTTATTGCCTTAAAAGCAATTAATCGGCTTAAAACGTAAGTTTGTAGCTTTTAAAGTTATCAAATCTATTGCTTTTAAATTGAATAATCGACTTGAGTAAATGTGTTGCCTTAAAGTAAATTAAGTAAATAAACTGTGTATAAAAAAAAAAAAAAAAAATATATATATATATATATATATATATATATATATATATAGATATATATATACATACACACACACATATATATATATATATATATATATATATATATATATATATATATATATACATACACACATATATAAATATATATATATATATATACACACACACACACACACACACACACACACACACACACTTTATGAAACCCAAGTTACAATGGGTTTACTCACTTTTTTAAAAGCTAAAGTAAACTTGTTGCTTTTAAGGCGATTGGGTTTACTTAGTAAATGCTTTTTACAGTGTTTGATGGATGTAAATTTAAACCAATTGCTTAGGCAGGCACCAAATTATGTTTGCTTACTAAAAAAAAGTTAAAATATCCAACCAAATGTGATATTACCAACATTCTAGAGATTTCTAAAAATACTTTTGTTGATGTTGTTTTTTGTTTTGTTTTGTTTTTTAAATCAGACATTATATGGTTATATAGAGTGACTGAAGCATTATATTAGTACTGACAGTCAGTTTTACTATTTAAAAAAAAAAATAGTACTTGACACAATCTGCACAAAGTTTTAGATGTTATAGTGAATGTAAATATTCATAAAAGAGAATCGCTGTGAGTAATTTATCTGTGCTTTTAGGGAGAAAAATGTGCAAAAATTGGACCTTTAGAGGTCACTAGCAATGCTTTCAACAATATTAACCTGTAAAAGGTACATACTGCTGTACCCCTAGGTAGTATTTTTGCACATTTTATCCTGAGAGAAGTCAGGTCTATATGTATTGGCTGACCAATGGCTCATTTGTCATTTGGGAAATGAACTCTGCACTGAACTATTCATGAAGAACACAGATATATTAATATAGATAAATATATATAAACTAATACAGTTCCTATTCTGTAATAAGAAATATAGGAGTGACCAGTATGTTTTTATTTCTGCTTGATTTGTTTACATTGGTTGTGCAGTTTTACTGTGCATTTAATTTTTGTTAAAGATGCTATATATACATTGTTGCACTACATTTTAGCGATACCGCTAACAGATCCTACAATTGTCATAGATGGTTTTGTTGTTGATCAGTTTTGTAAGTTTGTTTGTGACTAAAATGTTTTAATCTCTTCAGTATTTGTGGGTTTTTGGCTGTGCAATTATGACAACACAAAATGTAATGTAATCATTTTGGGAAGACTTGTGGTTTTAAGCTATGCTCAAAATGTTGAAATTAAATGTTCAAAATGTTAAAATAATTAGACAAACACTGACTAAATTACTTTATAACCTGCAGTTTTTATAAGATTGTCTTCTCTTTGATTAAAAAAAAAGATAATTTCCTTTAAGGTTAAGGTGGAATTGGTTATATGATGGTTGACGCAATGTTCTATTAACAATTTAAAAAAATGGTATGGACTTTTAGTTTCTTTTTACAGGACAACGATTAGAGAAGTTTTATAAAAAAAATATTTACCAGAGATGTGAATATACATCTGTTGCCATTAGTACACACACTTTAATCAAACCCAAATGACTGATTATCATAACAGGCATAGACGCAAGGTAAGGTTAAATATGCAAACATTTAACTTAACCTTGAAGTGCTACATGACCTTGCAATAAATTACACAATTCATTCATATATCAAATTTCACATCCTTTAAAAAATATTTAAAATATTACTACAGTAACAAATACCAATGAAATAATGACTGAAATTTTCCCATCACACAATCTTCAGAATCACTCCGCTAACAGAGCCATTTTATGGGTTAGGTGATTAAGGATGCCTTTACTTTCACTAAAAATGAAGATTTACTCTGAATCATCACATAATGACTATTTGTTTAGTATATGAAATGATGACTAATTGATGGTGTAGTTTACCCCAGAATAACACTTTAGTCATTATCTACACACCCTCATTTTATTTCAAAGGCAATGACACAGTCCCAAAACATATCCACTAGGTCACTCGCCATCATGTCTGATTCATACGTTTGACTCAGATCTTTTCAATCAGTTAAAAGTTCACAAAACCTTATTATTCATGAGCTTGACTGATCTAGTTCTTGAATTCATCATGTTTTTGTGTGGCACAGAAGAATTCAAGTCAAACGTGGTTGGAACAACATGAGGGTGAGTAAATAATAACAGTTTAGGGATTAAGTATCCCTTTACATCGATTCAAAGCAGCTAACAACAAAATATAACATGATCAGAAGTTCGCTGAAATGTTATTTACAGTAATATTACTCATCACTGATTAGTTTTGTGCCCCCTTTGTTTCTCAGAATTGTACAAAGTCTGCAACTGAGGTACCCTTTCAAAGGCACTATGATGAATAATCAATGTAAGAGATGTTCAATCCTGTTCCTGCCGGAAGATAAGCCATTGACCTGTCTTTAATGATTCTGAAGTTTTAGATTTGTACTTTATCGTACTTATTTGGGTGCTAGAAAAAAGCTGATAGAAGGTAAGCCCTCTAGAGCGCAGGTGTCAAAGCCAAGTCTTGCACAGTTTAGTTTCAACTCTGCTTCAACACACTTATGTGTAGGTTTTAAACAAGCCTGAAGGACTCAATTAGTTTGATCAGGTGTGTTTAATTAGGGTTGGAACTAAACTGTGCAGAGCTCCGGCCCTCCAGGAACTGGCTGTGTTCCAGAGGGTTTTGGTACCCCTGACTTAAGACCTTGGTTGGGTGCTAATATGTACCTTTACATATTAGGGGCAGCTGTTGCCTGATTGTTAGACTTGTAATTCAAAGGTTGCAGGTTTGAGTCCTGGAACCAGAGGGATTGTAAGTGTATGAATGAAAAACCATCACTCTGTTCTACCTTCAATACAATGGGTCCTTTAAGCAAGGCACCAAACCCCCAACAAATCCCCAGGCACCACAGAAAACAAAAGGGTTCAATTCAGAGCACACATCCTGAGTATTGGTCATCATACTTGACCACATCTCAAGACTTTCTTTTCAAGGCAACTCCTGAAGGGCCAATGTCCTGTAGAGTTCAGCCAAAAAATAAAACCCATGTCTTTGGTTTGTTAAGGTAATTCAGGAAAAACAAAGGCTTGTGTGTAAACTAAACAACAGTGGTCCTCCAGGGCAGGAATTGCCTACACTTGTGCAAACTCTACAGGGAATTGTATCAAACCTGATTTTGAATGTCGGTGACATGAGGGTCATGGCAACCCATATTAGAAAATTGGACAATAAGGGGTTACATTTACCTTTGAGTTACAAGTCTGACTCGTTAGCCATTAGGATACAACAACCCCTTTGACTGACTAACCACTGCTCCAGGAATGTCTATTCACT